AAAAATCTAGGCTTTGAGTTTGCAAGATAAGATTTTGTGTGGTATTTTTGTTTGAATTTACTAATATTAATGCCTGTAGTAAAGAATGCAGAATGGGTCCTAATAGTGTTACAGAAGCAAAGCAGAAATTCATGTAGCTGTCTCGCAGACAGCTTGATAATATGATGCTAATCTGTTTTGGCTTCCGCTAAATGAAGAGTTAAACCAGTGCTAACAAAAGCAAGCTCTGGTATCTGATGAAAGCTCATCAGGTTGAAACAAAACATGGGGACCTGGGGGCTGAAAAGGGGTAGAGATGAACTTAAGCCCCTTCTGTGTTTTACCGAAGAATAGAGGAAAATAGCAGTGCTAATGGGTTCTACTGCGCCAGCACTTAGGCTGTGATAAAATTCCACACTTGGCGCAAGGATTTTGTATGCTGTGTTGGTCTATATCTGCTTCATGGGTTTTTTTTTAAATACCTATGTAAGAAACCAAAGGGCAGAGGCATCTTTTGTGGAACGTATTTTTGACTGTACTAAACATATTACTTTCATTTTTAAAATGTATACCTAAAACTTCTCCCCTCACTAAGACAATGTAAGTGTGCTGCATGGCCTGACGAACTGTCCAGTGTGTGTTGCATACTGCATGGTGAAATTTGGCTTGGGTTAGATTGAAACAAAGCATTGTGATTCCAGGTTTGAAAGGCTCCCCGTGTTCTTCACAACCAATATTATGGGAGAAATTAATCCATATTACCATAGTTTGAAAACTAAAAACATTTTTTTTTCTCATGAAGGTATATATTAAAATTGTTAGGATTGCACTGGTCTTAAAGTCTGTTTCGTATCCTGCTTTCTTCTTGGACTCACTGAGAAAGATTACAAATTAAACTTTTTCTTTTCCTATGTTGTTTTGTCCCAGTTAATACTATTAAACTGAATGGGCATTTTTCCTCAGAATCAAATTCTGTTGCTGCCTAACTATTTGCCACCTATTAAAACCGTTCTGTTTCTACTTCCTGTCTCTCAGCTGGAATTATTCTCTTCTGCCTTTCTGCATGCCTTCAGTAAACAGGCAACATGTTAATTCTTCTGGAATGTAATAAAAATTTGCAGAACTCACCCCTCCCCTTTTTTTTTTTAAAGGGGGAAAGGTCTTTCTGGAAATCTGAGCCATCCGTCCTTGTTAGAAACCATGGCTGAAGGACACATGCCTTCCAGAATGCAGTCCTTTATACTCCTGTAGTTGTACAACAAAGAGCAGATTATTTATGCCCATTATCTGAAATAAGTGCTTTTGAAACCAACAGCAGGGGTGGCAGGTGGGGGGAATCCCCCCCCCAAAATAAGCATAATATAATTACCAAGTGTTACATGGTGCTTTGTGGAGATAGTGTAAAGTTGTTCCCAGAAATTATTTTTTGCCTTTTAAACAGTAATTTAATTAAAACTATACATCTTTTAAGACTGGAAAAATATGCACTACATGCTACAATATAATAATTACAATATTTTGTTTCTTAAAAATGAGAACATGTAATTGTATTTTGTGTATTGAGTAATATTTCATATCCCTGCGTTTGCCTTGAAGATGTCAATAATTCAGTGGGTTATGATGCTTTGAGCTTATTTCATAATAACGCAGAGTAGCAGGTATGTGGCTTAGGTGAGATGTGTATCTTGGACAGTAGTGTTCAGCTGTCTCAAAATGGAAACTAAAGTTCTGTAGAATCTCATATAATTTTTCCTCCTCAACAGTGGGTCGCCAACCTTGGGATGTGGGCATGTTGTTTGTTTGTTTGTTTATATATATATAACTCATTTTTTAAGAAGATGGGCAGTGACAAATTTTATATATATATATATAAATATATCTATATATATTTTTCTTCTTCTTAAGATATTAAGATATTAAGATATTAAGATATCTT